CAAATAAAGAATAACTAATTAATAAATATAAAATAAAGATAAAATTACTAAAACTCATTTGATAACAGTATGAATTTAGAAATTTAAAGTTGTTATAAGTAGAACTACTAATTTAGTCTCTGTAATACTAATAATATCAAGTTGGCTTTTGTAACAAAATTGTATTTATTGTTGAAATTTAGTAATATTGTTCATGTCTTAAATATTATAAGTAGCAATAACGATCGATTTGTTGTTATTTTTTAGAGAATGAAATATATATAGAATTGAGGTAATTATTTGATTATTTGTATAATTTGACCTAGTTTAAGTGTTGTTATTATTGTTTTGATCAGATATTAGTAAATTAAAAAATTTTTTAATATAGCTTTGGGAGAGATGAAAGTTGAAAAAAATTAGGTAATGATTTAAAATTATAGTGTTGATGTAAAAAGTTAATAGTTTCTGCAACTTTTTCATATTGTGTTATTAGTAGTTCTAAAATAATATTATTATCAACAATAGCTTATAGCTCTGTTAAAATTGAAGAAGAGGATTTAGGTAGGTTAGATAAAATAGTATTTCCCTCTTCTTTATCTGTTTTGATTTGTTAGTTAAATAAGTATTGTTTTTAGAAATTTTAATTTATTGGTCTGGTATTCTTATAAAATAATAAGATTCTCTTAGTAAATGTATAGTTTCTATTAATTGTCTAGGCATAGTAATTAGAGATATTATAATAACATGTATAGTATAGTTAGTCAAAGGAGTATAGTATACAGTATTATATGGGATGTATAATATTTATTAAAAATTTATACTTAAGGTATAAGTTTTCAAAAAAATATTATACATCCTGTATAATATTGATAAAAAAATTCTACACTTAGTATAAAGTATAATAAAAACTTATACTTATAATAATTTAAACAACTTCGATTAATAAGGAATTACCAAAACTAATTATGTATTATTATATATCATACACCTATTGTAGACTATAAGTTCAGGTATAATGTGAAATAAAACATTTTATTTTAATTTAGTTAGGGTTAGAGCAGGTTTAATTTAGGGTTAGAGCGGGTATAGTTAATATTAAAATTTTGCAAGGAATTTTTTTAGTTAGAACACAAAAGGCTGTTTTCTATGTAAAATTTTGAGCTATTGATATTTTTTTTTTAAAAAAATTTTTCGACATTTTTTATATTATACCTAATCTTGAAATTTGATTAGTGGGTGACAAATAAGAGTATCACCTGGTATAAAATTATCTACTTAAAATAAAGTGTGATAAATAAGAGAATCATACTCATACTAGATCTAGATTAATTCTTATTATTATTAATTGCTATTCTAAGTTATTTACTATAATATATTGAAAAACATATTAATAAAAAAAGGTATAAATATAAATAGAATTGAATAAAAATATTTGTATGCATAGAATTTAAATAGTATAATTTACGACAGATTTTTAAACTAATTTGAAGAAGAAAATAACTAAATTTGCCTATAGTGATAGAAGTTCAATATCTAGTTATATGACCTGTTATACGAAGCAATTTTGTATCACTATGTAATATATTGAAAAAATTATTATTACAAATAATAAAATAGAAAGAATATTGATAACTATAACCAGCGGTGATCATCACCAGGTGTGTAATTAACCAATAAATTTGCAGGATCAGGTGTAACGTGCAAATTGATTTTTTTTAAAAAAAAAATGCTAATATCTCAAGAATTCGCCTATGAAACCACCTTCGACGTTCTAACAAAAAAAATTCCTTGCTAAAATTTGCATATATGTAACACCTTGTTAAAATCTCAGGCCTCGCCCTAACCCTAAAGTTAATGAAATGAATCTTTTTTTTGTTTTATCGTTATTGGCTAATTATACATCGGTGATGATCACCACCGGTTATTTAAAGTTAAATTCTACTTTAAATTTTGGTTACATCACTTTGAAGTAAAAAAATTTCATAAGAAATCAAAACCATACTAAACGAATTCAAGGTTGTAAGTGGAATTTGAATTTTAGGATCAGAGTGTAGGTTTATATTAAATAAACTCTATTCGAAATTCTAATTTAAGAAATTCCCTAAAACACTTATATTCCGTTTTTACTTACAAAAATTTAAAAAAAAAAGATTCTAAAATTCTAAAATAGTTTTATGGTATGTTCTTTTAATGATAATTTTCCGTAATAAATTATTCGAGTAATTATATATATAAAAGAATTTTTTTTTTTTCATATAAAATGCTTTATGAAATCGAAGAATTCTCATGTATTGAAGGAATTAATATGCAAAAAGCTATTTAAAAGAAAATTTTAGAAATATTAATTCTCTTAATATAATACACAAATTTTCATCGCCTCTTACGAGGTAAATGAAAATTTGTGTATTTGTATTAAAAGATGACCGAACAAGTTATACAAAGATCGTTCAGTATTCACATAAGACATGTCGGATAACTGTATTATTGGTCAAAATTATGGCCGACAACGCTGATTTCTTCATAGCATATGACATGGTCTTCAGTCACATCATACAACAATTTCAATTTTAATATTTTTATGGTATTTGGAGCAAATAGGTGGGTTGAATTTTTTGGAAGTGCATTGGTACGAAAAAAAAAAATAGGTTATTCTTGAATGTTGTTTTCATGTTCGTTCACAAAATGAGCATTTCAAAATTGTCATTGCTGAATGGATAATTAGATTTCATGTAATTTTCCTCGTGTGTACCAACATTATAAAAGTTTATCTGTATTATTCATATGGCGGAAAATTGGAATTTTAGTAATTATTTAAATTGAACGATGAGATTAAATAGAATCTAAGCCAATAAGATATAAAACATGGTGTTATTACTGAAAATTAAAAGTGATGATTTAATCAGTGATCGTAAAATTGCTTATGAATCGAGTTTACGAGTTTTTATATCCCATTTATAAGTAGTGCTCCGAAAATATTAACTAGAATACCTCAAAACTAACCTGAACAAGATCAATTTCGGATCATTTGAGCTAATCTGTTTGGGTATCACCTTGCTATCACCTAAAATTCATTAATCCAACTAAAAATTTCCGCCCATATATATATCTGAATAAATGATTCGCATTGTCGCTCTTTGGAGCTCAATCATTACATTTAAATTATTAAAAATTATAACACGTAAATTCATGTGTTCAAAATTACAATTACGTAAAAATACATAAAATTACGGTAATTTCACAACCCTAATTGTCCCTTGCTGCCATAAAATCTTCATTATAATTCTCTAAAAAGAATAATAAAACGAAAAAAAAACTTTGAATATTTAAAAATTTGGGTTGAATTGGTCTTTATAGAGGTAATTCAGATCAAACTTTAAAGATTTTTAGTTCTCAGTCTTGGTGCAATTACAAGTTATATAAAATCACACTTTTTTTGAAAATTCGTTGATAACTTTATGAAACTTAGATTGTATTTTAGAAGCATAACCTTCATATAAACTCTATATATCTCTATAGAGTCAACTTTTATTAGAAGCGTTCTAGCAATGCCAGTATATACTATTTTTTGAGTTTAACGGTGAGCCAATCAAAACAAATGCTGCGTTACACTTAATTTGGATTGATACACAAGTTGCGGATTTAACCCAGGTTGTTATCATAGTGCCGGCTTACTTTATGTAATCCAGAATTTTCGACTTGAATTGTTTCATTGATTCATTCATTGACACTCGTCATGTTCTCTTCGGTAAGAGTTCCTTCAGACGGCAACGAGGATAAATATAGCGTCATTCTACCGACATACAATGAACGTGGCAATTTACCTGTAATCATTTGGCTTTTAGCTAAAATGTTTAAAGAACAGTATGTATTCTCTAAGGACTAAATACCTATGTAACATGAATTTTGCATCATTTAAATTTCCGTATAGTAATCTAGATTGGGAGGTAATAATTGTTGATGACGCGTCACCGGACGGCACTCAAGAAGTTGCAAGACAGCTTGCAACAGTATATGGTCTAGAACATATTGTAATTATGTTTCATAATGTTATCTAAACATTTTTTTAATTTATCTCTATTATTGAAATTCTTATATATTTTTGTGTTAAAAAAGGTTTTAAAGCCACGTGCTGGAAAGCTTGGTCTTGGAACTGCCTATGTTCATGGATTGAAGTTTGTTACTGGGAATTTTATTATAATAATGGATGCTGATTTTTCTCATCATGTAAGTTTATTTGCTATATTAAATTGATTATTCTACCCATCACTTATTTTAATTCATCTTTAGCCAAAGTTCATTCCGGAATTTATAAAGTAAATTATCTTATTCCATGTTATACCTTTCATTTAAACGTAATTTTTAATAATATGTATTTTACGTACATTCTAGACTTCAGAAAAGCAAAAACTTTGATATTGTCACTGGAACACGATACGCTGGTAATGGTGGTGTATATGGATGGAATCTCAAACGTAAAGTAATAAGGTAATAACTTTGATACTATTCTAATCTGTAAAGCGAAAAAAAATTAAAAATTTTGACTTTTTAATCAGTCGGGGTGCAAATTTTCTTGCTTCAACGTTTCTTCGTCCTGGTGTAACAGACCTTACAGGCAGCTTCAGGTATGTGTAATTAAGTCAATATATATTATTTTACAAAAAAGAATTTAATATTCTATTTCTATCGAATCAGATTGTATAAAAAAGAAGTTTTAGAAAAAATCATATCTGTAGTAATCTCGAAAGGTTATGTATTCCAAATGGAGATGATGGTTCGTGCACGTCAATTTGGATTCACAATCGGAGAAGTTCCTATTACATTTGTTGACCGTGTTTATGGAGAAAGTAAGATGGGTACTAATGAGATTGTTCAATTTGCTAAAGGTGTCTGGCAATTGGTAAGTTAATTTTTACAGCGTTATTTTTTTAATAGTATTACTTTTATTAATGAATTTATTGGATTGATTTTTAGTTCATATCTGTTTAATAAATTTTTTATTGAAGCAAATTAATATAATATTTTCTAAATTATTATATAAATTTTTAATTTATAATTGGTTGTAATCTTGAATTTAGATAAATGTATGTTTTTATTTATAAGTATAAAATTTATTGTTAAAAATAATCGTCTAAAATCTGCTAAATTAAAAAATTCTAGTTTGATATTTTTTTAAATAATGTTGAATTAGTTGTTTTTTTTTAGGGGAATTTACAAATAAGGGCCCAAAAATGTAAAATAATTACAAATAGGGGCCCATTTTGGAAATTTTACTATATCTCACGATACAGTAAACAAAATTTAGCGATTTTGATACCATTCGAATCGTCTCGTCGAGACGGATCGAATGGTACTAAAATCGCTAAATTTTAATGACCGGATAACAAGATATTACGACTTAAATAACTCGTAATTCAGTAATTAAAATTTGGCGATTTTGGTACCATTCAATGCGTCTCAATGAGACGATTCGAATGGTATCAAAATCGTTAAATTTCGTTTATGGTATTATGAGATATTAGTAAAAACTGTTAAAATTTATTGAAATAGGGTCTCTATATGTAATTATTTTACATTTTTAGGCCCTTATTTGTAAATTCTTCTTTTTTTTAAAAAGATTAAAGAATTGTTTTTTAGATTATTTAGTTTGTTTAATAATATTTACTGAAATCTTGCTGAAATTTTAAATTTTGACCTGTGTTACAAAGAAATTTTAGTATTTTTACAATTTTATTCTCTTTTATATCATTCTATTTTTTTAATAAATTCTCAAATCTCTATTCAAAACCTTATTTATGAACAAATTACAAATTTAATTCAAATACTATCTTTTGTTATTAAGGTTACTTCCTTAGTTGATTAGATTTTATTAGTTTGTTATAATGGAACTATTATATAAACAGTTTTCTAAGGTTTTATAGTTACATGATGAGTATATAACAAGTCATACATACAACTTTAGTCATTATTTAATTTAAGTAGTCTGCTATACAGACAATTAACTATTTGTTGATTCTACACTATGTTACTATATCTGCAACCTACCTGTAAGTTATCTATTTAAACATTTTGATCATTAACCCTTTCTTATATTCCAAACTAATATCATCATTATATCTAATCACTTAAGTCAACTAACTTACACATAGATCTATTTACTATACCACTTAGATCCTTTCAGAATTTATATTACCTAATATATTATAAGTATGCAGAGTTCTAGTTAACCTTAAAAGTAATTCCTACTAGAGTAGTTATATGCTTATTTTATAGATTTACCTGGTTTAGATCTTTGTTGATATTTGTATGAACTCAGTTCCTGCTATAGCTTTTTACCAGATATAGTCTTCTAAGTTCTAGCTAGATATTTCATAAAATAGATTCTCTCAATTTAGTTAGCTGCTAAGCCAAGTAAATATTATTATTTGTAGTCAGCACTAGGCTGCAGATTCACAATAATCTTATTCATATCTACTCAATCTTTATTCTTCATATTTAGGTTTTTTACTGGATCAAGTATTAACTAGCTTAACTATTAAAATCTGTACTATTTCACTAAACTCAGAATTTCTACTATACAAATTTTCTACCTATAGATCCTATTAAGATTTATTCATACAATATAACTTGAGTATTGTATTATATTTCTAATATCTAATTGATATTAGTACAATGTGATTTATAGGGTTATAACTTCCAAAAATGAACAGAGTTTACTGTAAGTTAGATACAAAGGTCTGAGTAATTATTCAAATTTATCAACAGTAGGATTTAAACCTCAGACTTCTTATATAGCAGTCTGACAACCTAACTACTATACTAAGATCACTAGACTGAATTCAAATACTATTTTATCAACTTGAACTAATTAAACTTTATTACAAACTATTAAATATTAATTTATTTTTTTTTTTTTTTAATAATCTTACTTGTTATTTTATTAAGAAAAAGCTAATTTAAGTTACAAGTAAAATACTATATTAATTACAACAAACTACTTTTTTAATACTAGTTAGGCTACTTTTTGGTATCTAAGTATGATCTGCTGTAGTAACTATTTCTTTCATAAAAACTTTTAGTTTATATATACAAACTTTTAGTTTTTAGTTAACAAAAGGCTACTACTAGCCTATATCAAAATCATTTATTTTATTTTAAACTAAACTTATCTTTTCTTTTTATCTAACTTTATCTATCTATTAACTTTACTTGAAGTTTCTTTTTATATTCTTATCTTTTTTTTCTTTTTTTTTTCTTTTCTATATTTAGAATTATATTTTCTTTCTGTTCTCTTCTTCTTTTTGTTTTTTTTAACTTAGGTGACCTTACTCTTGGTTTATTAGTAGAAAATTTATAAAGAAATTATATTACAAAAATAAGAAAAAAACTAATATTCTAAACTACTAATGTATCTCACCCTTGCAATCTCGAATTCATTCAGCTTGCCTTGCACTGCTCAGGTGCAATCTACTACAAAAAGTATTTATCTCTCTAAAAGGAGTCCTACTGAAGTAAAGTGGTTACTTCAGATCAACAATAGGTTCTTTTACGCCTTATCAAGGTTCTAGGTTGCTTCTAATCTAATTGAAACTAAATTACAAACTATTAATACCTAGTCCAAGTTAAAAATAAAAATTGTTGCATATAATAAAATGTAGCTAATTATATGAACTAAGCTTGTATGGGAAAAATCCGCTACTAGATTAAAAAATTCTTACAAGTAAAAAAGTAAAGAAAAAAGAAAAAAAACAAATACTCTAATTAACATAAAGAAAAAAAGAGTGTGACAAAATATAAAAATATTATAGTATGCAAAAACAAGAACGCATATCTCTAGCAATAAACTTCTCTGGAAGTTAAATCCTAATTGGATCATCCATGTAATAGTGATATATATGTTTGTTGTCTTGTCTAAGTTGCATATTAACAGATGACTTGCCAAATTAGAAAGTAGTATGAACTTGCAGATTCTTTGTCAGAGGTTTACCAAATCCTCTACTTTTTTATTTTTCAGTATAAAGAAATCCAAAGGTCTAGAGGGAAATGGTAGTAGTGCCAAAAAAAAATTAAAGAGCGTATATATTTTTCAAAATCTACTATCTACTTGTATTCACCTAGAGTGTAACTGGTACTTATCTTCTGTAGGTGAGTGATAAACTCTAAACTTGTCAGCAAGTAGCGTATGAAAACTACTTCTAAATAATAAGTACTACTATAATATTGCAGTGAGTAATAAACTCTAAACCTGTTAGCAAATAGTATATAAGAACTATCTCTAAATAACAGATACTGTCTTATGCTTTTCTGCGTTGTTGCTCTTATATTTCTACAAAGTTTATTATATATTTTTTAAAAAAAAAAGTTGGGAATTTTTGATACGAAAGATCATTGGAAAGAGTTGACTGTTCTTTTTTTTTTTTTTTTTTTTTTTTTTTTTTTTTTTTTTTTTTTTTTTTTTTTTTTTTTTTTCTTTTTTTTTTTGTTTTTTTTTTTTATTTTTTTTTTTTTTTTGTT